TCCATTACTTTCCGAACAATCCCTTCCACGGATTCGTCGGAAAGAATTGACTTCCTAAAGACCGCGAACTTTGTCTCGCGGCCTCGAATTCTAGGGCACGTGCTAAAGCATCCACCAAATGCGTTGGGTGGGCTAGGAGAAGTGCTTGTCTTGTCTCGTTGTCACGTAAGCCGTCGGAGAATGCCTGTACTGCCAACCGCTCCATAACATTCTCGGGCGTAGCAGGGTACGCAAGGCGAACGAGGCAGGCTACGTCGGCTTCAAATTCCTGCAGAGACTCGTTTGATTTCTGAATGCGATTTTTGAGCTAGGAATTGTAGACATGCTCTCTAAATGAGCCTGGCCGTACCTCATTTCTAAATGTCGTACCAATTGCTGATAATCTCCCTGTTCCGATGGTGAGAGGGTCTGCAGGACGTCAGTCGCATCTCCCCGCAGTGCGATAGTCAAAGCGGTAGCTTTTTTAGCGATTGTCCAGCCGTTCGCTCTCGCAGCGGCTTCAAATTGGCAGAAGTAGTTGGCCCATGCGGGTTTTCCGTCAAATTGTGGAGGCTTCATAACTGACTTTGAGGTATACTTATTTTCGACTAGTTTCGGGTCATCCGGTGTTTCTTGACATTTTGGTGAATTTGTCTTTATTATTTGTTCTTTCAAAATTTCTATCTTTCTATTTACATCGTCCTCAATTTGTATTATCTTGTCCGTAGAATTCTCTATAATCTTTTCTTCTAATTCCCTGGAATTTTCTATTATCTTGTATAAACTTCTAAATTAAGTATTTTATTATTAAAGCTGGCATGTATGTTTTTAGAATTTTCTGCAATCTTATTTTCTAAAATATTAATTTTATCGTTTAAACTTTCTTGCAAATCCTGGGAATTTTCTATAATTTTATCACTTAAAGTTTCTTGCAATTTTTCAATGACGAGTCAAGGTCACCTTCCAGCTCGAAGTAAAATGTATCAGGATCCTCACCTTCCTCCACCAAAACGTCTCTCAGTCTAGCTTGCAAAATCCTTTTTTCCATCTGTCTCGCACTTTCTCTCTTCCAATATGCATTTCAGTTCTGACACTTTCAAGTCTTTCAACAATTTTTTCAGAGCCATTGTTAGTCTTTATTCTTCTAGTCTATCACACACGCCACACTTGACACCAATTGTTACGTTTTTCGTCGGTTCCGTGTGGATAGAAAGTCACACAATTTATTTAAACACAATTTATTTAACACTAACAAACAATAACGATTAAAAAAACTTAAAGAACTATTTATAACTTATTTACAATTTATCTAACAGGAATTTATTTTGAATTAGCGCGGCGATTGTAACTGTACGCGTCGACCGGTTGTTTTTCTCTGTCTTCCTCAGGCCTTAGGCGTCTGCTTATATATGAGAGCAACAGACAATCCAGATTTTTCTCGATAATTCTTATTCGTTCTAGAACGTCGGCGTCGCTGGGCGTATGAGTTATAGGCGAGTGGCCAGGCCTAAGGCCGAGTTCACACGGGTCCGCAACACTATCATGGTATACATCCAGCGCAAAATGTTAGGGGCGCAGCCCCATCTATTTCCCGCCAGTCTCTGGATATCATGAGAGCCTTTGAGCCATATTGATATAAAAACTCTTTTATCGAAACATACCTAATTTTGCTGTATTAGATAAGGTGCTGGTATTTTATGATCCATATAAATAAACATGTTAAAAAATGACTTATTTGTTCAAAACTTTTGTTTTAATTTACGAAAATAGTGTTTTCCCGACTTCATTAAAGTTTTATTAATAATAATTCTGCGTGTGTGTGTTTTGAAACTGGACTGCACAGCCTCTGCGCCTATAAACCGTCCCGTGCTCTTATTAATAGAATATTTATGTAGAAAGTGTCAATAGAAAAAAACTTAAAAAAATGCGAGACTTGTAAGCCTGGTTTTTTGCTCATTTGCTCATTTGCTCATTTGCTCATCACTAAACGTCTGGAAACTTTTTCGTGCTCTTGTTCCTGGGCAAAAGTGTAAAATCTATCGATACCCACTGTCATTCACGCCGGTTAGAAGCCGAATGAAGTCCGATATCTCGTGAGTAACAGTCGACTGCGGTTCGATATTAATCAACATATCAGAATTATAACAAATACATTTTCCACTTTTACAAAATACTTCGACGAGTGTGTGTTGAGACTCAGCAATTCGTCTTCACTTCAACTGCAGTAATGATGTTCACGCTGTGAGTCCTTTGACCTTCACGCGAAAAAAACTACAATTGAGCGAGTGCCGGGCAATGGCAACAGCATGAGCAGTGGCATCTCAAGATTGCGGCTGCTTCTGCCGCTGCCCGCTTTCCTACACAAAAATACTGGTGTAGCATCGACGCCAGTATACACATTCATCCTTCACTTTTCAACGAAAAACAGTAATTAGAGGGAACGCCACTGTCCATGCTGGGTGCCAGCATGAGCAGTGGCAGCGCAAGGAAGTGTTTATAATCTCATGCTGAGGCTGGACTGCTACCTAACTGGACTGAGTGAACCCACATTCGACTCTCCCCACACTCTGACTTTACCTCGACTACACTCACAACCAAACTTATATAGAATCATCTATTATTTTTGATAACGTAAGAAAATGTTGTGTTTATGAATAAAACTCAGTCCTTACCAATGGCTTTTAATGAAAAATAATCCTTATACATAGCAATTAAAAAAATTAATCAGTTCCAAAATAAACACGATGGATTTTTGGGTTTCTGAAACCAGCAAAACCAAAAAGAAAATTGATAATTTTAATAATTCTTGTTGCCACCTCTAGCCCTTATGCAAGCTTCTATCCGCGCTGGCATGCTTCTTATTGAATTATCAACGTATTGCATTGTTCGTGTTATTACGAGTTTCGTGGTCCAGGCGGTTAAGCCAAGACCCCCCCACACCCTCTACCCGCGAGACATGCCCACAGACAGTAGAAGGTGCCTGGTTTAAATGTCTTGGTGCAATTCCCTGGCCACTACAGCCAGAGACAAGACAATGAGTGAGATGCTTCTTGGACTGAGCCAAAGTGCTAGAGGAGATTCTGCCAGCACCTGACAAGGAGCTTCCCCACCAACGACAAGGTCTTGCATCTCCTAGGGGAAGTGACGACATCATAGGTAAATAAATGATTTTAGTACTGCAGAAAGATAATGTCAAAAGGTACTGGTTTAAAAAAAATAAGATTCAAGTTAATTAATCAACTTTTGAGATATAAAATTCAGTACCTAAGTGTTATTATTAATAAAATATTTTGTTTTATTTATGTTGTGTATATTTGTTTTGAGGTATGTTTTCCCATGCTGCTAATGCTGCATCAATAAGAGGATCATCTCGACGAGCTCTAACCCTTCTTTTGAGCTGGTCCCACAATTTAAGTGTTTGATAGGGTACAGATCTGGTGAACATGCAGGCCAGTCTAAAACTATGACTCCTTCCTTTTCAAGACATTCTCTGGCACTCTGCTGGTATAGGGAGGTGCATTATCGTGCATGAAGTTAAAATTATCCCCAATTGCAGCTCTCGAAAGACTAACGATTAATTCTAGCACTAAATCAACATACCTCCGACCCGTTAAAGTTTGTTGAAGTGGTAACAATGGAGTTTTTGCTCCCAGCATAATACCTCCCTAAAACATTACAGTTCCTTCTTTATATCTCAGCAGCCTGGGGTCTCGCTCGTCTTTCTGGAGCTCTGAGAACCCGAATTCGATGGTCATCTGATCTTAGGCCAATTCTGATCGCATTCGAAAAAAGAACATTTTACCAATTCTCAGTTGTCCCGTTTTGATGTTGAAGGCATCAATTTAGCCGGTCAATTTTATTTTGCCGAGATAACTGTGAGATCCGTAACTCTCTCCTGCTGTAAAACCCTCGAGCACGAAGCCTTTTTCTTATGGTTTCAACTGAAACGTTCACATCTGTAGCTGTCAGAAGTTGTCTTTGTAGCTCTGGATGAGAAACATTGGGATTTCTTCTAGCAATTGGGCACACAAGGCGGTCTTGTTGTTCAGTTGTGACTGTTTGGCGACTTTGTCTGGGCCTGTTCTTGTGTGTTCTTTTTTCCAAGTACCTTGCATGTTTTAGATACAACACCTTGGGTAACGTCTAGTATCTCTGCAACGTCTCTTTGGGGCATTCCTTCTTCAATGAGAGCAATAATTCTTCCCCTCTATACATCTGTTAATCCAATATGACATTTTTTTTAATTTTTAGCCGACCATACCAATAGGTATAGTAGGCTATTAAGATCGGCAAAAAAAAAGTTTTTTTAATTTCACTCAAAATGAGTTATTTGGGTCATAAATGACCTAAATACAAAATATTTTCATGGTGTCTGTCTGTCTGTCCGTCTGTAACACGATAACTCAAAAACCGCTGAACCGATTTTAACCAAATTTGGCACAAAAATACTGTGGCACCCGAGAATTTGGCCATTAGTTTTTGGTGGGGATGGAGGGCTGGTAAGGGGGTACGGGAGGGGGTTAAAAATTTTAAAAAATCGTAACTCCAAAATTACAGTAGCTAGCGAAACGCGGTTTTCAAATTAAGATTAGGAATAATATTTGCAACAAAATTTGTAATTAAAACAAACATCAAAATCAGTCAAAGTCGCAGTTTTCGAGATATTAACATATTTTAGTATGGGCGGCTATACGTGCCTCCCGGCGCCAATTTTTTTGGGTCGAATGAAAATTTCCGGACAATCATGATTTAATACTGAACACAAAATTCAAAAGAAAACAAAATCGCAGCAGTCGTTTATTTTTTATTATCATGTTTATTTACAACAAAAAGCCTTATCTTAAAGTTGTGTACCAATGTTTGTCCTTGCAAGAAATTTAGTCAGAAATAAAGAGTGATTCCATATAAGTTTGGTTGTGTGTATACCTTGGCTTATCTCCACACTCGACTACACTATATTTTGACTTACTTCGCTAGTAGTGTATAGGCCGTTTAATATAAAACTAAAGTTTTTTTTTTAGAAAAGAGAAGTTCCTGATTATCTATGTGGCAAAATAAGTTTTGAAATTCTACAGGAGCCAGTTATAACACCTAGTGGTATTACTTACGATAAAAAAGATTTAGAAGAGCACTTACAAGTAAAAATACTTGATGTAAATAAGTTTTATTATATTAATATTTTTACATTTTAGCGTGTAGGTCATTTTGATCCTGTTACTAGAGTTAAACTTACACAGGATCAGTTAATACCAAATTTTGCCATGAAAGAAGTTGTTGACGCATTTTTAACAGAAAATGAGTGGGCACTGGACTATTAAAAGTTTTTTGTTTGAATCCGCAATTTCCATCTAAATAAGAATGTTTCATTAGAAGTTGTTTTTACTTATATTTGTTTTGTTAGCATATTTGTTCTAATTTTCTTTCAAGTAAGTTGATTTACCAATTACCGAAATTACAAATTATGATGTAAAGCTATTGGTTACAATGTGATTTACAAGGATATTAATCATTTGATTTTATAGTTTATATATTCTATTGATGTATAAGAATATTGATACGGATTGTTTATTGAAATAAACCGATGTTTGCACTTTCTTTATTAAATTTGATTTTACTTATCCACTGAAATATTTTCACAACGTATAGGGTCCAGTGGCGGCTCGTCAGGGTAGGCAAGGTAGGCGGGTCCTACCCTAAGATTTTGGCAGAATTTAAGCGATTTATTATTTACTATTAATGTTGCCAATACATAAAAATACTGTTAATATACGGAAGTGTGTTTTAATAATCAATATTATTTTAATATTTGTGGTCTTGTATATTATCAATCATCGAAACCTGGTCATTTCTAGCTGCAATGGAGGACGCGAGAATTGACAAGGAGATACCATCTCTCCCAAGTTATTTACACTGGCACTGGAAAATGTCTTCAAGAAATTAGAATGGGAAAATAGAGGTCTAAACATCGATGGGGTACACCTTAGCCATCTGAGGTTCGCAGATGATATTGTCTTGCTGAGCACCGACATTCAAGAACTGAACACCATGCTAAATGAGCTAAATGACCAATCCCAGAAAATTGGCCTTAAAATGAACTTGAAGAAGACCAAGATAATGAGCAACAATATCCATAACATTACCGTAGACAACGTTATTATTGAAAACGTAGACCATTATATATATTTAGGTCATAAAATCAAGCTGGGCAAGCCAACATACGGAGATCAAACGCAGGATCCATTTGGCATGGGTAGCATTTGGAAATATGAGCGATATTTTCAAGGATAAAAAGGTGCCCATGAACCTAAAGAAAAAGGCTTACGACAGCTGCATTCTACCTGTGCTTACGTATGGCTTAGAGACTATGGCAATTACCCGAAAAACAGCAGAACAACTACGAGTAGCACAAAGAGCCATGGAAAGAATTATGTTGTCAATACGTCAAAAAACAAAATTAATAGATGTCGTTAAAAGAGTGGCAAGACAGGATCCAGACCGATGGCCCCAAAAAGCAATCCTATGGAGACCTAGGGGAACAACAAGAAGTGTGGGCCGACCAAAAAAGAGATGGGTCGATGACGTCAGGGCAGTGGCGGGAAGACAATGGATAAGATTGGCTAGAGATCGCAAAGCATGGAAAAACCTAGAAGAGGCACTCGAAATCGCAATCCAACACTGGATGGAACGAGGCTGAGAAAGAAGAAAGAAGAAGATATTAACATATTCACTACCGCTGGCGTACGCTGACCGCTGACTGCCGCTGCGTTAGAAAACAAAATAATTTTGACCGTTGGAGTGCCTTTGTTCGGCGATTTCTACATCGCCTACTATCAGAGTCGATGCACGACGTACGGCAGTCTTCTGTCTCTGTCTAACTCATCGTGCGGTAGCGATGCGACGTAAGTCGGAGTTGTATCATATTAAGGCGGGGCTTAGGCGAAATATCCGGTCGCCTTCGCATGAAATCGTGGAGGCTCGGCCGGTAGGCTTAGATGTTAAGGGGATATTCCGGATATTTCATAAGGAGATATATCACATTTTGTTAAGGGGATATTTCATATGATTCATTATATTATGTAGCATTTAAAACTTTTATATATATAATAACTCTTTATTTATAGCACCTGGCTAGCATAAAATAATACAAATTAATAACAAAATTATAACAAATACTCACAAGCCATATTAAAATAATCACACAAGCCATATTAAAATAATTAAAGTCCATACCTATCACAGCGCAATTGTTTGTTTAACATATTCAATACATTTTCTTTTAAATTGAGACAATGTTCCACATGTTTTTATATGTTCTGGCAGCTCATTATACTGCTTTATACCTTTATAATATAAACTATTTTGACTATAATTGGTGTTTGACATATTTAAATAAAAATTGTTCCTAGACCTTGTATTATGATTATGGATGTCCCTAACAAAAGTACAATTATTAAGATGTTTGGGTAATAGATCATTCAACATTTTGTATATAAACACCATTGTATTATGTGTTACCGTTTGTCTTACACTTAACAAATTTGTACTTTTTAACATATCCAGTCTACTTGTAAATTTATTACATCCTATGATTGTTCGAAGGGCTTTGTTTTGCTTTTTTTGCAATACATCAATTTCAGAGTTATTCATTAAAAACAAAAGTGTCGAACAAAAATAGAGATGTGGTGCTATGATGGTTTTATATGCTGTCAGCCTTGCCTATATACTGAGCTCTTTTGAGACCCTAGCCAGTACATTTGTTTTTTTAGCTATCTTATTTGTTATATATTTATAATGTTCTGAGAAAGTCAAATTATTATCTATTATACAGCCCAGGTATTTGATTTGTGATACAGTATCAATGATAACATCATCTATTTGTAAAGCCCTACTGCCCAATAGTGGGCTTTTATTATTCTTATGTCTAATAATCATAGCTTTAGTTTTATCTATGTTAAGTTTAAGCGAGTTGTTTTTTAGCCATTCAGATAAGTTATTTAATTCATCAATGTCCTTAGTATATTGTCTAAATCAAAACCTGCAAAATAGATTACTGTATCATCGGCAAACATTTGAACATTACATTTTTTTATAATATTTACAATATCATTAATATACAGTATAAATAATGTAGGGCCTAACACGGTTCCCTGTGGCACACCATGTTCAGTTTTTTCTGGAGTTCGGTTGATTAGATACTCATTGAACCACTTTATTATTCTTGTACTGAAACCAAATTTACTTAGTTTAAGCAGAAGTAGTTGTCTATTAATGGCCTCGAAAGCACGCCTGAAGTCCAAAAACACCACACCAATCATTTTTCCCTCATCAATTGCACTTTTCCAGTTAAACAGGACATTTTGAAGCGCACTTTCACATGAGTTTTTATGTCTAAAACCCAACTGATACTCACTCAGAATGTTATTTTCTTCAACATAATGCACTATTTGTTTATTTACACATAACTCGAGCAGTTTTTCATATGGTGGTACAGTGTTGATTGGTCTGAATTCCTCACACTTTATTGTTCCACTTTTCTTTTCGATGGGAACAACTTTGCTTTCTTTCCAATTACGTGGGAACGATCCTGTTTCCAGACTGCAATTAATTGTATTTAGGAATTTGTCACCAATAGTTTCGAATGCTGCTTTTAATATTTTAGTTGTAATACCATCAATGCTGCTTTCAGTATTCTTCATGCTAGTTAAAGTTTGTCTTAGTTGTGACATTTCTATTTTATTAAAATTCTCCATTTTGCAGTCTACTTTTATGTGTTCGATACATTCTTCTTCTTAATTTACAATTACTTGAACACTCTGTGTGAAATATTGATTAAAATGGTTACTTATATTATTACCTGTAACAGTGATGTTTTCAAATAGTATTTCTTCTTTTGTGCCATTATGATTTTTAGTGTTTAGTAGTTTTTTTAATGTATTCCACATTTCAGTTGGATTATCTTTGGACTCATCTATTTTTGAATTATAATAGTGTTTTTCTTCGAAATCCTGATTAATGATACTATTTGATTCCTTTTTTGCTTATATTCTTCCCAGTCTTCATTGTGTTTACTTATTACAAATCTTCTATATAGTAGATCTCTTTCTTTTATTTCATTATCTATGTCTTTATTCCACCACATCATCTCCCGCTCCAACTTTTATTAACTTCTGACGTTCTGGTGCAAATTCATCTAGTGTTGTAATTAGGTTTCTTGTTAGATTATCCGCCAAGATGTCTACATCTGAAGCGTTCACTTGCCAATCCTGGTCCATTAATTTAAGTTGGAAGCCAACTTTATCCATTTGCTTATAATTTCTTATGGCTTTTTTTTGGTACACTTCCTTGTTTTCTAAACCAAAATTTGCAGATATTATTGAGTGGTCCGTTATTTTTGGAGTCAGTCGGATCTCATATTCAAGGTCTTTCTTGTTGGTAATTAGAAGGTCTATTATTGTTGAAGAGGTATTTGTGATACGGGTAGGTTTGTCAATCAGTTGGTAAAGACCATGGTTATTCACAACATCTGTCAACTTATTCGCATAGAAATTATTACCTTCTAGATTAATATTGAAGTCCCCTATCATTATAAATGTAGCATCCATACTTATAGTATCCAGTATTTCATCGAGCCTGTCCAAGAATTCTGCATTGCTTGCACCTGGTGAGTGGTATAGACTGCAAAAATAGAACTTCTGTTTCTCAATTATAGTTTCAACTCCTATTATCCATATGTTCATGTTATCCTCAATTTTTAGAATTTCCTTATACTTATAACCATTTTTGATGTAAATTAGTGTTCCCCCTGTATGGTACACTCTCTGATGTGTTGTATATTGCATTATATCCAGTTATATTGATTTCGTTAGGTTGAAAGTCTTCGGTGATATGTGTCTCAGAGAGGCAGATAATGCTTGGCTTATATTGATTTGCTATCCATGTTAGTTCAGTTTTGTGTGACTTAAGGCCTTGAATATTTAATTTAAAGAAGGCATCCATTTTTCTCAACGAGACCTGGTTCAAATTAAAAAAGTAGAAAAACTACTTTGAGTCTTTTTTCTACTTTTTTAACTTGAATATTTAGATACATTATAATCGGTCCTGTTCTGGATGGTTCCCTAGAAAATTTCTACCTGGCTGGTTCTGCCTGCGTTCATATGATCGATAATTGTTATTCCTTGATGAATTATAGCCTTGAGCATTGTTTTCATTATAGTAATTGTTGTAATTATAGAATCGCCTGGTCCCTTGAGTGCTACGTTCTTCGTTCCCCTGGCGATGATTGTTGTCATATCGCCTGGGCTCTTCATTATTGCTACGATCACCATTTCTTTGATGTACAGACTTCTGTAAACTCATACTCACGTCTTTACGGAAGTTGTATCTTCTGAAAACAATGTGAGCAGGCCAGAATCTAGGATCGTTGAGGGTTTCATAATGGCTCAATTCTATTCCGATTTTAAATGAGTTAGTTTTTCCTTTCGTTTGAAGTTGCTGAACAACCAGATCACTATCATTCATATTGACTTTCCTTTTTATAAAATTCTTAACTGCCTCTTCTTTGGATTTTTCGGTTACTCGCCCGATGTATAGCCACATCCTACCTACTTTTTCCCTAAAATCCTCCAATCCGTCGTTTCCAGATCCTCTGAGGACGGCCCCCGTAGAAATAGTTGAGGGACAGCTGAGGGACGGCCCCCGTAGCTAATCTCCTTATTAGGCTTCGTGAGATCCCGAAGCTTGGAGCTGTAGAGAGATCCAAGTGCATCACTTACCGCGACCCGAACAGCCTCCGCAGTCACCGGAATACATTCACTCCTTTCAGAAAGCCCACCCTCATCATTAGGTGTTAAGGAGTGCTGTATAGCATGGGCTTTCTGAGTATTGAGTAGCTCCTTAAATGCTTCCAATCTGTTAGTCAGGTTTTCCTTCATATCATCTAACTTCTGGGTGTAAGCGTTAGCGATTTCATCCTTTAATGACAAGACCGATGCCGTGAGCTGGACCTGCAGTTTTTCCAACTGGTGTTCCATGTGGTTGTTTGGGCTTGTGGGGCTTCTCTCATCTTCACCATGCTTATACATTGGGAGCACGCGAATAAAAGAATACGCCCTTTCGCCAGTTGAGTGACCCGAGTCTCCGAGGAGGATAGTCCTGAGCATGGTACACAATGGGTGTCATTGCAGAAATCACATATTATTTTCGCCTTAACCTCTTCCGCCGAAAGCATTTTATCGCACCTGGAGCAGGACATATCCTATCATATGCACTGAATTGGGATTCTGAATTATATGAAAATTCAAAAAACGTTTAAAGCAAATTGGAAACATTTTTCGGGCTTGTCCGAGATTATTATAAATGATAAAACCGTTGCATTTCAGAACACGCCACAGAAATAAAAGAATCCGAAATAAAAAAGCGCGTTATTTTATTCGGTGCAAGAAGACGATACAACAGATATTACAGAAAAGTCTCTGTGCTATTTCAATTCGATATGTTAATAAAAGCGGCTAAGTCAAATATCTTTGCGAATTCTATTTTATGAAATATTAGATAAGATTGTTATACATTTAGAAATAAGGTTTGCAGATAGGTACTCGTATGTTTCAATTATTTTTATTTATCTCTTGCGGATCCGAAATTTAAAGAATCCTATAAAAAATTCCAACGCATTTAACATCTGATTTAACAAACTTGTTATATTTATTCATTTCCAACTTCCAACGCATTTAATAGTGACTAGTGATTTAACAAACAAAAAATGCTATTGACCAACATAAATTAATGAATAAATTGCAGGTATTAATAATAGATATGATAATTTCGAGCATAAAATAATCTAAGGAGAATAATCCTGGAAATATATTTCCAAAGGCTTTCAAATTGTTTGTTTTGCTTGTTACTACACCATTTACAAGTACTTGGGTTGAGAGACATTTTTCATGTTTGAAATGCATTAAAATTTATAGTAGAGATTCCAAGAAAAATAAACGTTTATTGCCACTTGTCTTACTTTCAAACTAAAAAGATCTTTTCACAGCTCTTCAACAATCTGATGATTTTACTGATATAATAATGAATAACTTTTCTTTATTAAGTGATCGACTCATCAATTTAATATATAAAACATAATTATTCTTTCTCTCAATACTACCAATTTTTATGTTTGCGTAAATAAATAAAAATAAAATAAAATTCTATGATGTACTCCATAGTGACTCCATAGAAATAGATAAAAAAAAATAGATAAAATAGATTAATAAAAACTATATTTGTACATTATGTCAATCATTATGTCATTACGTTGAATGCTGTTATTTTTGCTTTAGTTTTATCCTAAATATTTTTGAGCTATGATTTTAACCCTTAATTTACAAACTGGGCTAGGGTATTATGTAAATGGGGGGCAAATAGCCGCAACTAAAATTTTGGCGCCTACCCAGTCACACGGGTCACGAGCCGCCACTGATAAGGTCATTTTTTTTCATTTAAAAAAAAGTATTTTATTCTGTCTACTGAAATGGTAAGAATAGGTTATTAGTAGCTAGGCTTTAAAATAGGAAATTGTCTAAACTACAAAATAAAAATTATTTTTCAAAGGTATTTAAAATAGAAAATGGCGTTATGTATTCTGTATAGTTATTTCAAATTATTCACCTCTGCCTATTCACCACTTTCATTTTATTTTGCCATTGCAAAATTATCGCAGAATAAAATATTGAAAGCACTAAAAAAAAGAGTTGTTTTCTATTGAGATTAATATTCGATTTTCAACTAAGAAAAAAAAAGCAAATCAAAACTAGACAACAAACAAATGCTGCTGTTATGAATATTTTAGCCATATTTTAGCTTAGGCGCGAAAAATGGATTAGAAAAACAAGCTTAAATAGAAATATACGGAAGCTAAAAAAGGCCTCCATAATAGAATTTAAATATACCTGCAATCTGGCAACATCTACGAGTCACGCATTCGAGAGCTAATGCAGCAAATAGATTTCTCAAGGTCGACCGCTTAAAACAGTTTTTTTCTACCCTCCGTAACCACAGATCACATACAAAATCCGTAACCTTTACCCAAAATTATCTAATATATTGTTTTAAAATCAAAATTTTAGTAAAAAATTAATGATTAAACCTGATTAAATAGATGCGCAGATAACATAGTAGATGGCAAATCATCGCATCGATGTTTTTAAAACATTGGTAACCATCTTGGGCTTTTGGGTAACCATTGCCCAGCTCTAATGCAAACGTTGTTCTTTGGATTCTGTAATCAAAATCAAAATATTGTCATATTGTTTGAGTTTTCTACATGTTTTCTAAAAAAGTGACAACTTGTTGCACTTTTTGATTTTAGTGCTTTCAGAAAAGTTTTTCTTTTAGAATTCTGGTGGTTTTTAGTATATCGTATATTAAGTCAACTATTTTTGATTCATAAGCAATACATATTTTGATTTACTTCTTTGGTCGGGGAAAAAAGGTAAATAGTTTAAATCATTCGTAAATTTTTTAGGTAGGTATAAATAAATGTCTTATCTCTAGTCATAAATAAAATACAAATACCCATTACCACACATTTTTCCTATAAATTTCGTTTTTATGTATATTTTTATTTTAGCCATTTTGATGAACATGGACAAATTAAAACGATTTTTAAGTGGAAACGACACTCCAGATGAAGAAAGTGGTATAATGTCTCAGGTAAAAAATCTTTTCTATAGAAATACATTTTAGTTTATTGCCAAAAAACTTATTATTGCGCACAAAATTACAATGGTATGTATTTATACAACTAAAACTTATTTTTCAGTTAAATGATGCTTCAACTTTAAGTTGGTCAACTCGTATTAAAGGTTTTATAGCCTGTTTTATAATAGGAGTACTTTTGTCGTTATTGGGTTCCTTTGCCTTATTTCTCTCCCAGGGGATCAAAACTTTTGCAGTATTTTATACATTAGGAAATGTAATTTCATTACTAAGTACCTGTTTTCTTATGGGACCAGTAAATCAATTACAAAAAATGTTTCACTCCACCAGAGCTATTGCAACCTGTTTGGTAATAGCAAGTATAGTAATGACTTTAGTTGCAGCATTAGAGGTATTTTAAATATAATATATTTTTAAATGTTACTAAAAGACATTATTCATTTTAGTGGCATAAAGCAGGTTTGGCTCTTTTGTTCATAATAATTCAGTCCTTATCAATGACTTGGTACTCTTTGTCATACATACCATATGCTCGAGATGCTGTAAAAAAAACTGTAATGACTTGTATTGCCTGAAGAACAAAAAAAAAAGAACCAAGCGTTCCTATATTTGGCGGCATTTAATTTATTTTGTAAAAATTGTATAATGTAATAGAATAATTATAATGGTTTTGTTATAAGCACACTGTTTCTTTTATATAAATAGTTAAGTACTTATAGGGATATTTATATTGTCAACAAAGTCTTGAAAGTATTTTTATATAAATCTTACATACTGTGTACAATTTTAGAGACTTTAGTTTTTGATATAATTATAAGAACATTTAAAACTTATAGCAGAGTTTATACTATATGATATATACTTAATGTTTTTATAAAAACTACAAATTTTTGGTTTTAAAGTTTTATTACTTTTTAACAATTTTATAAACTCAATATATAAAATAAACTGTATTTCAGATATAATTGTAAGAAGTCATTTATCAATAATAAATTTAACTTATAAATACTGTAAAAATATATTTATGTGAATGCATAAAATGTTGAAAACTTAACTCCAACATTAAATTTCTTTGGATATTAACAACTCTTCCACACCTAATCTTCCTTGATGTTTCCATACTCTATATCTGGCTAAATCTTTTCTTGTTATCATTCCTATTACCTGAAAAATATAAAATACAGACAAATATATAAAACTGAATGGGCTTGTTTCACATTTTTTTAACCAATCGAAAGTACAAGTAAAAAATAATAGATCTACAAAAAATTAGAATTTTATATGCACGTTTAGTACCTCAAAAACACCTACAAGCATTTATTGCGCAAGAGTAGTCTCTATGTACGAATATCCACGTCTATAACTTTCGTTCATTCCCGCATCTCGTATTCATGTGTCTTAAAAGATCGGTTGACATCAGCATTTTATTCAAATATTGCTAAAACCTGATTCATTAATATTGTAAGAAAAGTTGTAAACATTTCTGAACCGCAGAAATTAAAAAAAGTACACATTATTGTTTGTTAACAGAGGTGATCCTATTAATATAAGTTACCTACTTTCATATTGGCTAACCCATTGGTTTTTTGAGGGGCGCCACGACAGCAACTAAAATACTTAAAAACACTAATCAAAACAAATAGTAACGAATATCCAGTTCAATAATTAATCGGTACTGTCAATTTCCACATTAACACATCAGCTATTACCACACCACATAGGGAAGAATATCTGACAAAACATTATAAACACTATACTATATCCTAGATGTATCCTATTATAGTTTACTGAAATTATGCTCAAAAAAATCCTTAGCACGAAAGCTTTGGGATAGTTTTGATTTCTTCTATTCTAAAAGTTTTTTGAGTGCTCTATCCGAAACTGGGATTTGCGAATTCATTTTCGTGGAAGAATATTAAACAAAATTAAATAAAAAAATATAAATCAGATTTGTTCGTGGCATTTTTATAACTCAAAAGTTAACAACTTTTTGTAAATAATCCTTCTTTCTATAATTCTCGTTTTTATAAATTTCTAAACAAACTGTTTTGGGTCAAGAGCCAGCAAAATTAACAGTTTTAGACTGACCGCTCAAAATTGCACTTTTTCTACTATCCACACCCTTTATTTGTTATCAATGGCTGATATGCCCTAAAGTTATATGCGGCAAATATTCATTCGCAAGAAGCTGAAGAGGATCCTGATGATATCCTTATTATCAAAAAAAAAACTTTTGTTGCGGTTGCTAAAAATGTTTGCCTCATTAATTAAATTAATTTATTAATACTAGTGGGAAAGATATCAATCTTTTGGTGGTTTTGATTGTTCCGGCTTGAATATGTAGTAATACACTGAAAATGGTAGCAAAATCGTAGAATTTTCTCATTAGAGCCATCACACAAAAAACAATTTCTCACAAAGAAATGCATCTCAAACATTGACTGAACCTCATTTTTTCAGCCGACAAAACTGTCTGATCATAATACTGATTCTGCACTAAATATGTAATTGTTTGTGAAAAAGAAAGGAAAATTTTCTTAAATTCTTAATAATAAAATATAATAAAAAAATAATGCAACTGCTTGCAATTAAATACTGTTATGTTTTCAAAGATCACTTATACCAGAACAAGACTGCCGAAGTTGGAATTCTATTTCTTATGCTCTATATACCGAGTGCGTCTCAGAAGTTTCTCCCCCTATAATTTGTTTATTTTTAACACAGCCCTGGCACTATAGATTAAAATTTAAAATACGATTTTTTTAAGCGAAAATGTCAAAAGTTGACATATGATATGCTATTCTACTCAGAATGTCATTTTCTTTTGGAATAAAGTAGAAATATACCGAGGGTGCATTTAAAAATCAAAAGTTTTAGTCATTTCTGGTCAAACAGGAAGTGACTAAAAACCATTGAATACGTCAATCAAACCTAATATATGTCATATACTAACATACAAAATTCGTTTTTTTTTATCTAAAAAAATATAAAAATTATAGGAGTGAGTCACTTTCGAGACCGGTGTAGAATAAACAACAATCGCAGACTAAGATTGAACGAAGAGAAGAATTTTGAAGTATCTTTAAGTGAAAATTTATTGTTAAAGTAGCATAAATATGCTTAGTTTGTAGTTGTAGGACTGAAGGAAAAAGAGAGTATAATAACTGTTAAGGATGGGGGGGCGCCAGATAGGGTACTCGCCCGGTCTCAATATTTTCCTTCCGCCGGCCATGCCTCGCGAGCCGCCACTGCTTTACCATATAGGTAGGATTTGAACAACAGAAAATAGAATAGAAATTAAAAAGTTAATTATATGGCTTTCTCGGAGATACGAGTGATATTTGAATGGCCAAGAATAGGTACCATGGCCATCGGCTGGTCGGATATAGTGCGTAATAGATGCGGCCTGTCAGATCTAACGATTTTTTACGTTTTACCAATTAGAAAATATTGTTTTCAGAAGTGTTAAAATATCGCAGTTAACTAAAAAGCGAAGTTCCTATTCATGAGCTTATTAAATGTTCTAATATTAAATAATGCATTTAAAATATTCTTGGATTTTCCGTTAATAAATACTGGTGTAGTAAATGGAGTAAGTAATATTTCTTCAAAGCCATATCGAGCGAAAATGACAAAAGAACCACGATATGCGGAGACAAAACTGAATAGAATACTGAAGCAATTTGGCCCGTCTGGCCGTCACAGAGTGTTGCATCAGATATAAAAATTATAAATAAACACATTATATCAATAAAGGACAAAAATAGTATTGTTCCTAAGAATTGAAAGCAAATGATTTATTTATGTTAAACTTATTTATATATGTATGTCGTAGTCTCATAGTGTATTCCGTCTTTTCATGAAGAACCTAGTCACTTAATGAAAAAAACTAACCTAATAACATAACTAAACTGCTAACGTAACCGACGCTTCATGAAGTGACCTAGGATGTTCATGAAAAGACGGAATACACTATGTGACTACGATATACAGGGTGCTACAAAATTCGAGGTACGAGCATTGGTATCTCGGTAACCGCAATAGATACGAACATGGCTAAATTGGGGCAAAGTTGCGCTTTGGGATGTTCACCAAGATGCCATAAAAAAAGTTTTAAAAATGTCAAGGATTGCTGAGTTTTTTGGAAAAAACAGATTTTTTTGAAAATTAATTTTATTTTTTCCTGTCGTTACTTTTAAGAAAATCAAAAAACTAATTGCACATTCTCATAGCCACTTTATTAGGGCTATCTGATAGTATTTTTAGATTTTCAAATTAGCTAATAATTTGTGAGATACAGAGGCCAACTTAATTTTTTTAAATACGGACCTGCATTTTTTATTTCCGGTTTTGAAAGAACTCGGTCCCCTGAGTACAATGATATGCCACACTTTATACTTGTTTTTGTTTTGGGTACCTTAACAACAAAAAAAAACTATTTAATTATTATTTAAAATAATTTCAAGTCCGACTCTGTTTTCTTGATTTATTTAATCTGATTATATTCATCAGAACAATATTGATCAGCGCTAATTAACATTGAATAAGGAAAATCGAGCCAATTGGAAGATTCAAATAAATTATATCCAGGTCAGCAATTTAAAGATATTATTTTTAACTTTTTTTATTGTGAATTTGAAATCTCGGTGTGCGATCTAATAATATGCGTAATATTCATCGTAGTTATTATAAATAAATCAACTTCTACAAACTAGTTTATAATGCCCTACATGTTCGAATGGGTTATAGCACAGAATATCTAGCTACGCAACTGAAAAATACTCGAAATGAAAGAGCAAAAATTGCACAAATAAAATACTAGATGGCGCGACAATATCATAATCAGAATATAATTGGAAATTTTCATTTTTCGGTTTTAGATCGACGGCACGTCGACGGCCTTGAAGCTCGGCTAGAAATGCACAGTTGCCAGATTCAAAAAGAGTTTAATTGGCATCCCATTCTTTTTCTGGTGTATAATAATTTCTTTCTATTCTTCGTTTCTTGTCAGATACACTTACATTAATTATTCGTTTGGCTTTTAAAATAGTTTTAAGTTTAAGTATATTATTAGAAAACATATGCTCACAAAATACATTTTTAATATATGTAATACACTACTTTATTATGTTAACTAAGAAAATAACTTTAATTACCTTTAAAATTAATAATATACAGGGCGATTGATAGTGATATTTATTAATGCTGAAACGTTAGTAATGAAATATACGTTAAATAATAATGGAAATAATTTATTAAAATGCAGTTTAAAAAATGTTAATTGACTAAAAAAATACTATAATAACAAATTTCTTCTGTTTGCCACGTTATTTATATAGACCTAGGTAGATTTTAAAAATTGACACAGATACAATTAATAATATATTAGTTAGGCATAAAAGTTGCTGTCACGACATCGTACAATAAATTAAAATTCGTAAAATAAATTAAAATTATTAATTAAACAAATCTTTATAAAGAAACTCAAGTATACCAAATTTTGGCCCAGTCGAACTACAGGAAATGATATCATAATATTGTACTATATTATGGTACCACTCGATATGCTAATAATGCAATGTCACGGAAGATCCGTAGTATACCAAATTTAAGCACAATCGAACGCCAGGAAATGGTATCGTAATATGGTACTATAGGTAGGTACTAGTAGGTACCACTTTTTATATGCATCATAGTACCGTCATCGAAGATATGTAGTATACCAAGTTTAAGCCCAATCGAACGCCAGGAAATGGTATCGTAATATGGTATTTGGAATACACATTATGCTACCCCTTGATATTCTTTATGGTACCATAATATTGGAATGTCATCAAAAATACGCAAGTATAATCAAATATGAGCCCAATCGAACGTCAGGAAGTGGTATCATAACATGGGACTTTAGAAGGTACCACTTTATATGCATTATAGTATCATCATATTACAGTGTCACCGAACATACGTAACATACAAAGTTTAAGACCAATCGAACGCCAGGAAATGGTATCGTAATATGGTACTACATTATGGTACCTCTTGATGTACTTCATGGTACCATAATATTGCAATGTCATCAAAAATACGCAAGTATAATCAAATATGAGCCCAATCGAACGTCAGAAAGTGGTATCGTAATATGGTACTATATTAAGGTACTACTT